CCAGGTTTTTATGTCTTCAAGACATGCCTGCAATTTATCTAATGGGTTAGCTTCATCTGGATTTATGGACAGATTATCATTAGCATAACAGTGGAAATTAATCCCATGCTGTCCAATAATTCTACCGATTGGGAGCATATATACAGTAAAGAGAATTGGTCCTACCAGTGATCCCTGTGGTACTCCACAGGTAACCTTTGAGCATGAGGAAGATTTGTCATTAATGTGAAGAGACTGAAATCAGTTAGACGAACTGATATATTCGTAAGCCTGACTTATTTTAGGAGCAAAATACAATTGAAAAGGGTGAAATCTGTACCTGCATGCACACTCTTTTTTCCCCTTAAAAGATACAATGTAGCCCTGACATATGTCCACTTTCAGATAGATTGCTAGCAGTGCTCTGTGAAGCCAGACTTCACGTTGAGGATTCAATTCAGCCGTCTACCTCAGATGTGTTAGACCAGGGAAACCTCGGACAGTAGCAGGAAGGACATCCTAAAGAACAAGAGTTTGACACCTCTGACCCACAGTGGCTTGCTGGGCAAAAAGCAGTTAACGGTCTTTAATGGTTAACCTTGGTTATGAAAGGGGACAGGAACTTGAACTTGCTCTGGTCAGATGGGAGAAGCATGCAGCTTTCTGGCCTTATCTTTGCTGCGGGAAACTAAAATCTTATCACCACAAGCTCAGTAGCCCTGCCATGGGCAAATGCATCATGATGATTGTTAGTAGGAAGAATGGTAAAAAGACTCCAGTCCTGATGGCGGTACATTGCATTATATAGAGAACATAGACAGCTGAAGACTTTAGCTTAGGGAGGATGTTTACCCTTTAGAACATGAGCCCAAAGCTGCAATGAAAATGGTGCAGCCCAGTGGTGCCAAACCTCCAACCCTGCAGTCCTGAGAGCTACGATAAAAACACCTGACTCTTTTCATCAGGGAGCTTGTTACTGAGCCAATCACTTCCATCAAGTTGAACCTTTAGCAACTTTTAAACCCTCAGACCAGCCAATCTGACTGCGATTTAAAAAGCAGCTCTCCACATGTGGATTACACATCTGTTAAAGTGATTGTCAGGAGGAAATCCTGAGAGGTAGAGTTCCTTAATATTTAAGAAGGGACATCCAGAATCAAGATTTAATATTGGAAATATAAGGTATCATAAAAAATGTCAGCAGTTTGCTCTCTAAAACAAGATGGACATTATTGCCCTTGGTTAATAAAAACTAACAAAGTTGAGATGATGAGACGGTGTCGTGGTCACACCTGCTAACCCCTACACAATAGTTATCATCGTTCTTGTAAGCGTGACTTAGTCTCACATCCCACTAAACCCAGCTTGGACAAATCACGTCTTTTGGACGGGGAAATTAAATAACTGATACAAAAAGCCTCTTAGACGCTGCAGCGGCAGGAAGCTCCTGGAAGGGCTCGGATTGCGTTACTCTCCGGAGTCCCCTAGAAATGCACCGTCGCTGTTTCTAAACGGCTGCAGGAGGTGTTTGTCTGCTGTTAGTAGTCATTGAAAATGGCATTGCTGTGGAGTTTCAACTCCAGGTGAAAAAGGAAAGTAAACACTTTGGTGAATTTATATGTATTAAAAAAAGACACCTAGTTGGCCTGCTGAAACAGCCTGTCTTTATCCACTTCTCTCTTCTAGTCTAGACTTTAGTCATGTTCTTTTACATCTTCCTCTTCATGTTCTTTGTTTTCCAAATTCACTTCCCCCTTTTCCCTTCTGCCCCCCCTCCCATCCTCAGCCTCGTTTGACACTTCAAAGCTTTTGGAGCTTGAGTGATCTGTGTGGTTGGTCTTTATCACACATGGTTCCTGAACAGCAGCACTTCCTCTCCCTCCGTGGAGGTGCTGCCGTTTGATGAGGTACAAATGCAGCACAATGCACCGCTGCTGCTTGTTCTTGGTGTACTCACTGAAAACCACTATATATTAGACAAGAAACAGCAAGAAACAAGAGGAACACTGCTAATATGTGTGAATGTCTGCTCGGTCATGTTGCCTGTCTGCATTTTGCTCATATCCACTAATGGGCTTCCTGTGTTCTTTATCCACATCCTAAATGGTTCTCTTCCCAACGATAAAAGATGATCCAGAGCTGGAGTCTTCTGTGGACTGACAGTATCAGGCCAAGATTTGATGAAAAAACATAAATACAAATTCTATTATATATTAACCAGATACAAGTAGATCTAATGCCATGATCTAACAGATAGTGGTATCTGTCCAGTTTCTTTTAGCTTGTGACTCCATCTTGAGAAGAAATTGTAAGATGCATATGATCACATGTGCTTTCAGCTCAACAACCGGCTGTTTTTCTATTCAGATTTTAGTTTTTGGGATAAACAAGCAGCCATGAACCCCTGCTTGACTGATCTTTTGTTATTCCCTTCAGACAGGTCGACCCATTTAGATTAGATGGAGGTCAGAATGTGATTTCAGAGTTCAGATTCTGCAACCGTACAGGGGTGACATATGGGAGCGTTTTGAAAAAAAGATGTTATTAGAGCTACATTGTTGATGCCGTTTCTTCAAAAAAGGAATAGGATCTTTACATTACAACAGAGCGATGGTCAGATAACCATTTTTAAAAAAAGCCTCTGTCTGTTCACACAGAGCATTTTCCAAACCTTGTAATGAAAAGTTAAGTGGAAGGAAAACGTGTCAGAGAAAAATTGGCATAATTTGTAGGAATAGCTGCTGCATTTAGAGAATTGCAAAGCAATGTTCATTTAAATATTTTGGGATGAAATAAAACATATTGACAGCAGCTGGAGTGAGAGCTGCAGGAGTCACTACACAGCGATGGATCCAGGACATTGGTTGTATTCCAAACTCCCCTACTTCCTGAACTTAAGCCAGCTCCTTTGTTTCCTGTCTTTCATTACTGAACAAACTGATTAATCCAGGTGTGTCTGATCATTCTCATCATAGTGACTGAGGTGAAGTTCAGGAAGTAGTGGAGTTGAGCATATAGCCCATTAGTGCATTTCTTTTTTAAGAGCTAGGGAGATAAAAATGTAGTGATGCTCAGTGGTTTGAAGTCCTAATTTCAGATAAAAGTAAATTTTGCATACTATTTGGAGGTCAGGGTTGAATATGTCCGAGAGGAGCTCAACCCGAGCTGTGTAAGGTCCAGTGTGAAGATTCTGCAATACTGATGATAACCTGATATATGTAGGTGTTGATCCATTGAGTCTGAAAGTTTTATCCCATTTGTTGCACCACGCAGAAAGAAGCAGCTTTAATATTGTTAGGTTAGAATTGGTCAGTCATATGGACCATAAGTGTAAATTGGATGCTTGTGTTTAACACTGATGACAGATGCTTTAAATTGTATGTGACACATTTACTCTGTAAAAATAAAAACTGGGATTTTCAATTATCCCCAAAATAAAGCTGAAATCTGCTCTGGTCTCGTGAGCTGGATGCGTTGTTACACCCTTACTGCTAAATCATGCAGGCGATCTGCTTACTGCTCCTATCAGCTCACAGGCTTCCTGTCTTCTGTATCCACTTCCTAAATGTTCTCCTTCCCAGTTATAAAGACAAGTCTGACTCGTTTTTTTCTTTTTTTTGCATGCTGACTGTAATAACCACATTTAAAAGAAACTATGGCAACGATGTCTATGACTAAATACAAATTCTATCATGTTCTTTCTCCCTCTTTCATGTCTCTAGTCGATTTTGCTCATTGGTGCCGTGGCTTTGCTGTGTTTGGGCCTGGACCTGATCTTCCTGCTCATCTACTCCTTTTGGCTTTGCTGCCGAAGATGCAAGAAGGAAGACCCGTCACATTCCCATTCGCACTCCCATCAGCCCACTGCCGACTGCTGCTGCACCGCGTGGTGCGTCATCATCGCCACGCTAGTCTGCAGGTGAGAGGCTAAATGATTAAAGCTTGGTTTTTACTCAAAAACTACCTATTTGGCAGGTTTAACCTCCGCTCTGTTGCTATGGCTCAGGCTGTAGCGAGTCCTTAGAGTCCAGTTTGTCTTAACCCTAATTAAGGAATTGACCCTTACCCAGCTGCCTGAAACTCTTAACTTTCCCCTAAAGCTCTGTTAAATCTCCCCACGGCGATTAATCAGCACAACTTACTCTGTGGGCTAATTTAGGCTGAGCGGTGTGTGCTTTCAGATCTGCAATCGTCTGACCAGGGCTCCTTTCTTGGCTTTGCTCTGCTAACAAACCAGCTCTGTTTCTGTGGGGCTTCTACTGACACAGAAGGTGCCTCTAATTACCGACAGTTGGCTTTAAACTATTTGTCTGTCAGGCCCATGTCTATTATTTGACAGTAATTTTGTTGAAATGCAGCAGAGCTTGCTTAAACGAGGTGTAATTGAAGAAGCAGATATTTCCAACCATAAATAAACAGGAGAAAAAAGGGAAGGAAGGAAGACGTCTCTCCTCTGGACGGACTTATTGCACATATGGAATATGACCTTGTTTATCAATAGGAATGCAAAAACAATATAACTAATTGAAAGGTTCAGATTTGGGGAGTTTACACAGCAGAAACAGTTATGGCATGTGTTTATCTTTATTTAGTAAGTGGATGAGTTTTTCCAGATGAATGCAAGGATGTCAAAGACTCTATTGTATAATCTGTAGACTTTTTAAACTAGGCAATGTTATGCCACTAAAGCAGCTCTGGATAGACCATATTTACAGACAAAGATGTTTTTTTTTTATCCTAAATGTATACATATTTGGTCTGGTTTTGATTTAGTTGCTGCTTTGACTGGGTTTCTCTTTTAGCAGTTCTTTCTTTGATTAATTTATTACGATTAATCTATCTGTTTAATCCCTAATTGGCAAACATGTAAAAGATGATTGAGGATTCAGATTATTGGGTTTATTTAGAAGCAGCAGCATAATCTTCAAAATAGCCCAATATTTAATTAAAGGGGAGAAATTTCTTGATTTAAAGTCTCTATACTCCAGTTAACGATTAACTGATTATTAACTTGGTTCATGATTGTTTCAATAATTGAATAATCACCCTTCATTTCAATTATATTCGGTTATATTGTTTAAGCCCAGTCACCACTAATAGGAGCTTTGTTAATTCTAGCTCAGATTGTCTGCAGGATTTAGTTATGAGCATTAACATGGCTTTGGAAAATGGATCATATGTTTTTCTTATAAACCATTTTGGTTTATTTGGGGAAATTGTTTGATCATTATTCTGCCTAGAGTTGGGAATGCTATAGTTTTCTGTTTGCTTATTAAAGCCTCATGGCCTCTATATATATTTATGCACCAGTTGAACAGAAAGTCCTGAGTTTTATGTTGAGTTTCATGACCCAAACGACTGAGAATTTATGCCGACTCATGAGTTTAAGATTTCTTGAATCGGATCAATTGAAAACAAGAGTGTAAACAAAAATATTTTTCCGTCGCAAATGGTTTGAATGGATTGCAGTATTTCCCCCCATATTTTAATAAATATGCTCTAATTAAACAGTTTTTAACATTTTATTTGAAGGCTCTTTCTGAAATCTAAATTCTGGTTTAAAAGCTGCTAACTTTTGTCTATATGATGCTCGCTGCGTACAAACGTGGGGATATTTTACCCAGGCGACCCCTCTGCAGGTCAAATGCTGATCTCTATGGTCGGCGCTGCAGACTAGGAGCATCTTATACTCAGCTGAGACTTTTCCTCCCACTTCCTCTTCTCCATCTCTTTCAGCCTTTATTTATTATTTCTCTCCAATCCAACTCTCTGCCTGCCCTAGAAAGGTTGCCATGGAGACAGCAGCAGATCTGATGCAGAGACTAGAAATGAATTATACAGTCATGGGAAGCTATCTGTGTGACTGAGGGGAGAGAGGGTTTCTGTAGATTTTTAATACTTTATGATTTGTTATAATATTGTTACCCAGGATTTGATTTGCTTTAGAACAGTTATGTTTTTGGCATGTTTGTTTTTTTGTGTGTGCACAACTATTGCCCATGATTCTTTGTCCACCATTTGATATGACATCATCGCCTATTTTTGGCTCTGTGCCAGTTACATGTGGACTTCCTCCGTTTGTGTTCCAGTGTGGTTTTGTTCCCGGAAAGAAACAGGCCAGTAGGCTGAGGGGAGCAGGATCCATTAAATCACAGCCGGCATATCTGATCATTAATGATTTATTTTGGAGAATAAAACAGAGGGAAACAAAAATGTCCTGGACGAAATGAAATGTTTTTGATATATTATAAATATTTGCTATTTAATATCTTTTTTAGAAATGTAAATATGCATTTTTTCCCTTTTTGGAGTTTGATAAAAAAAAAAAAAAAAGGAATTTTTATGTATCTGATAATATTTTTGCTTATTTTTTTGGGATTCTACCCCATAATAGTACAGGTTGCACATTTTGTTACTGAAACCCATTCAACCTATTTTTAACAGCTCTTCCTCTTAATGAATCTCAGTTTCTGTGTTTTTGACTAATTCTACTTTTTTTTGAGCACGACTTTGGTGACTGAGTTTTAACTTAACATTCATCATAAACACTTTTTTTTCCTGCATTCACAGCTTTTCCACTGAGCTTGTTATACGTGCGCTTTGAGGTGCTAATTTACGTGCAGCAGCACGCTTCCTGCTCATGATGTCAGGACACTTCAGATTTAATGGGCTAATGCTGAGAAGAATCATTGTTTTCTGGTTCTAAATTATATTTCCCATTAATCTAAAACATTCTTTTTATTTAATTAATATTTCTAAAATATTTAAAGGGGCTGGCTGAAGAAAATGACTGGATATGATTAGCAGGTCGAACAAATATCAGTTGAGAGAAAGATTAAAAGGGAGAAAGGAGTGAATTAGAGAGTAGAGTTAGAAGGATGGCTGAGGTTAATAGCTTATGTGTTCATCAACATGCAGAGAACAAAAAGCTCCTGCAAACAGACCCCCGGAGGATATATGTACGTCGTAAAGACAGATGTATAATGGAGCTATTACATATCTAATGAGCCTGAATGAATTGTCTTAACAATGCCCATAAATTCACCTCTTCAAACCCGTCTAGTGCTTGCATGCATGCAGACAGCAGCAGAGTACAGTAGAGCTGTGTACATAAAGCACACAAAAGAAAGGCAGAGTAGGGGGGAGCACAAGCTTTCTGGGGCTGTGGGGGGATGAGATCTATAAGCATAGTGGGGTTAAAGGAGGGCGAGTGGGGGAGGAATGGATTAGATGCAACAAAAAAAAATTGTATTGTTGGTGATGTTTTAGAGAAAAGTTTGTTTCGGTGCTGCATACATGTGGGCAGAGCCCTGCTGAGGGATGCATTATTTGTGGTCTGGTGACCCAATTATTGTGTGTGAGAGAGCATGTATGGTGTGAATCATGTCTGATGGTGCTCTGACAGTGCTGCCTCCTGGTGGCTAACAGATGAACTGCACCCAGCTCCTCAGCGTTATGTCCCTTTAAAGCATGACCTAATCTTCTATGGTATGTTGCTTATGATAAGATGTTTGTTTTATTTGCTTCTCTGCATGGATGCTTTTGTTTAGAATCATGAATTGTTAATTGATTGATTCCTGTTTTGGTGTAGTGCTGGAATTGCTGTTGGATTCTATGGAAACGGGGAGTCGAGTGATGGAGCCAGTCGCCTGGCATACTCCCTTCGTCACGCCAACCGCACCGTATCTGGAGTGGAGAAACTGGTGAGCTAAATCCAAGAGTTCTGGATATTTTACTCTGAAATATCCATGTACATTTACTGGGTTGACTTTATCGACGTTATCTCATTTTGTTTAGGTGACAGACAATGCCCTAGCCTTAAACCAGACAGTGGAGGAGAACCTGGCCCAGTTAGAGACAACCTTTCAGGAGCAGACGGACTATGTGGCCATCGTCCAGAAGCTGCAAGGACAGTTAGATGAGCTGGTTAGGCTGATGGTGGATGTCCCCTTCTGGTCCAACACTGACATCTCCCTGGAGGACTTAGCCCAAAAAACAGAGGCCTTTGACTTTTACAGGTCAGTAAACTCAAAACTTTTGAAATCCATCTTATTTGACCTTAATAGATAATTATCCATGTTGTTATTAAGCATAAATGTTAGCATTGATGATTAATCACTGAATTTAATCAGATGAAAGCCTATCTATAAGAACCTGCACATACTTCTTCCACATACTACACTAAATCATCAGCCCGGCCTTCACAGTGCGGGCAGCCCAGGCTGTCCAGGAACAGCCTATAAGGGTTTTGGAAATGGCTGCATTCCTGAACCCATCCCAGTGTGCTCCCTGGCATTGCACATTTTTTCTGCTTCTAAAACAAACTGAGGACTAAAGGTCCACCCTCTGCCTGCTATAGCCCATCTAATAGAGGACTTGATAATGAGGTCATCAGGGTTATTTCCATCACCTATCTGATCATACATTTACAAGCATTCCTTCCTCATGTTAATTTGGCCTTGTGTAGGTCTTGATATCCTCTCCTGTGGTATAACATTTCCCTGTTTGTGGTCTGTAGGTGGTTGGGTTATCTTGCTCTGCTACTGTTTGACGTCCTCATCTGTCTGCTGGTCCTCTTTGGTCTCATTCGCAACTCTCGGGGCACTCTGATTGGGTAAGAGCTGTTGCATCATCCCCACCAAACTGCCTTTGATTGGACCGAATAAAACATTGTCTGTTTTGTGAGCATGTATCTCCAAGAACTCTGACTTGTGTTTTGTCAGTGAGTTTAATATCAGCTTTTTCCTTTTTCCCATCTAGAGTTTGCTTCCTTGGGGTTCTGACTCTGATAATCAGCTGGGGTTCTCTGGGCCTCGAGCTGGCTGCCGCTGCTGTAAGTTAACCATGGCAACACAGCCGAGCTCTCCGGTTCTGCAGTGATGTAATCCCTACCTACTGCTGGAGCCAGTGTGCGCTTGTTCTCTTATATGTGTTTTAACCTCTTACAGTCAGCCAGTGACTTCTGCGTCTCTCCAGATGCCTACATCACCAGCGTGACCAAAGAAAACGCAGTCATCGATCAAGGTACGCAGGCAGAAACAATACAGCCCTGCTGCTTCTCAGAGGTGGTTCATAAATGATGAACTTGTTGTCCGTTTGGGTTGACGGAGAAGCAAAGACGTGTCGACTCGACTTTTGACAGCCTAAGCCGCAGACGCCGTTGCTTCTATTTTTAACCAGCTGGGTTTTTTTGTTTGTGTGCAACTGAGCGCATCCAGTGGGATTGCGTTTGATTGACACCCTGGTTTCTAACAGCTCTTACTGTCTCTCCCTCTGCGGGCTGCTGTGCATCAGAAACCATGTCTCCTTCCTGCTGGTCTCAAGGGCGTTACAGAAAGAATCCTTTGCATTTTCATTTACAATTTGAGCCTATTCGCTCCATTTATTCTCCATTTTTCATCTTTTCTTTCATATTCCCTCCTCTGCTTGGTTTATTAACCCGCCTCCCACACAGCTAATGACTCTAGTTTCCTTTCATTTTCTGGCTATAGAACATAGACATTCCCCAACTGTTTGGTAGAACAAAAATGTTGCCTTAGTATGAAGATAAAAGCCGTTTTGTAATGAAACCTCATATTGTGTATAGGGATGCACGATATTGGGATTTTGGCCGATATCCGATATGTCGATATTTTAAAACTCATGTAGCCGATAACCGATATCGATACCGATGTTAAAGCTGGACAAAAATAAGTAGTCATTGAAAATGGCATTGCTGTGGAGTTTCAACTCCAGGTGGAAAAGAAAAGTAAACACTTTGGTGAATTTATATGTATTAAAAAAAGACACCTAGTTGGCCTGCTGAAACAGCCTGTCTTTATCCACTTCTCTCTTCTAGTCTAGACTTTAGTCATGTTCTTTTACATCTTCCTCTTCATGTTCTTTGTTTTCCAAATTCACTTCTCCCTTTTCCCTTCTCCCCCCCCTCCCATCCTCAGCCTCGTTTGACACTTCAAAGCTTTTGGAGCTTGAGTGATCTGTGTGGTTGGTCTTTATCACACATGGTTCCTGAACAGCAGCACTTCCTCTCTCTCCGTGGAGGTGCTGCCGTTTGATGAGGTACAAATGCAGCACAATGCACCGCTGCTGCTTGTTCTTGGTGTACTCACTGAAAACCACTATATATTAGACAAGAAACAGCAAGAAACAAGAGGAAAACTGCTAATATGTGTGATTGTCTGCTTGGTCATGTTGCCTGTCTGCATTTTGCTCATATCCACTAATGGGCTTCCTGTGTTCTTTATCCACATCCTAAATGGTTCTCTTCCCAACGATAAAAGATGATCCAGAGCTGGAGTCTTCTGTGGACTGACAGTATCAGGCCAAGATTTGATGAAAAAACATAAAATACAAATTATATTATATATTAACCAGATACAAGTAGATCTAATGCCATGATCTAACAGATAGTGGTATCTGTCCAGTTTCTTTTAGCTTGTGACTCCATCTTGAGAAGAAATTTTAAAATGCATATGATCACATGTGCTTTCAGCTCAACAACCGGCTGTTTTTCTATTCAGATTTTAGTTTTTGGGATAAACAAGCAGCCATGAACCCCTGCTTGACTGATCTTTTGTTATTCCCTTCAGACAGGTCGACCCATTTAGATTAGATGGAGGTCAGAATGTGATTTCAGAGTTCAGATTCTGCAACCGTACAGGGGTGACATATGGGAGCGTTTTGAAAAAAAGATGTTATTAGAGCTACATTGTTGATGCCGTTTCTTCAAAAAAGGAATAGGATCTTTACATTACAACAGAGCGATGGTCAGATAACCATTTTTATTTAACAAACATTCAGACCAGATTGTCTAGCAGCACAAAATACCCCACAGGGTGTCTTTAAAAAAAGCCTCTGTCTGTTCACACAGAGCATTTTCCAAACCTTGTAATTAAAAGTTAAGTGGAAGAAAAACGTGTCAGAGGAAAATTGGCATAATTTGTAGGAATAGCTGCTGCATTGGGATGAATAAAACATATTGACAGCAGCTGGAGTGAGAGCTGCAGGAGTCACTACACAGCGTTGTATTCCAAACTCCCCTACTTCCTGAACTTAAGCCAGCTCCTTTGTTTCCTGTCTTTCATTACTGAACAAACTGATTAATCCAGGTGTGTCTGANAAGTTTTTAGACTTTAGAAACTCAGAAGCTGATCAAATATCGGGTTAAATATCGGTGGGGTGGCCAATGTCCGATATTCAGTTTTAAGGCCGATACCGATAGGGGGGCCGATTATATTGTGCGTCCCTAATTGTGTATGTCTGTAGTATTATTACACTGATACCAATCTGTTGATTCTTTCCCAGAAATCCTGCAGTATTACCTGAGGTGCAGCTCTGGAAAAGTGAACCCTTTCCAGCAGGTAAAAATGTCTCTCAGTATTGCACTTACTTTAAAATAGTCTTTTCCCTCATTTCTAATTTTCTCAGATTTGTTTTTGATCAAAAAGCTCAGTCTCTGGTATCTTGTTTGTTCTGTAGAGGCTGTCAGGAAGTCACAAAGCTTTGGTGGAGATGCAGGATGACGTGGCAGAACTACTGAGATCAGCAACACGTGATTATGCTACCGCCAAGGTCCGTTTGCTTAAAACTCAGCCACATATATCGCATTAGAGTTATATTGTCATCTCTTGTACTAAGCCCACAACCTTTCATGTCGGGTTTGCAGGAGAATCTTGAGCAAATCCAGTTGGTGCTGAATTCTACCGAGGTCGGCCTCCACCAGCTGACCGCCCTGGTTGACTGCCGCAGCCTACATATGGTGAGTCATGATTTCTTTGCTGGAGGATAGAAATCCAAGCCCTGCTCCCCAGCTGACTCGTCTCTTCTCTTCTCCCATAAAGGACTACGTCCAGGCTTTGACGGGGCTGTGTTACGATGGGGTCGAAGGTCTTATCTACCTGGTTCTGTTCTCCTTCGTCACTGCCCTCATGTTCTCTTCTATTGTGTGCAGTGTGCCACACACCTGGCCAAGGAAGAGGTAACCCACACACACTCCTGCACAGCTCCTTTCATGCTTGTATGAGATTTTTCCATTGGTCGAGGTAGCTCTGCTCATTCTGCTAAAATATTATGCAGTTGGTATAACAGTCTGAGTAAACTAAGATTAAAAAACATAAACAAATGTAATATTTCTTTGTGTTTCATTTTTCCTGACCTTATATTGACCTTAGAAAGTATTGGGAAAAAAGTAGCAACATTTAGGAGATCCTGTCTCCAGTGGAGGGAGGGTATAGTTGAGTCATGGCTAACGATACAATGGAAAACCTGCATACAGACTAAACAGCTCTTTCTTCACCCCTAAGTTAACCTGCTCACTAATGACTCACATGTAGATAACCGTGAACTGCTCTGCTGCCTAACAGAAAACAATGCAAAATGCCTCAACCAGAATCTCCTTAGGGCCCCCATGCATGTCATTGCTTTGGGTGTAAACTGTTATATCTTCATTCCCCTTGCTGCCTGTCTCTGCATCCATTTCTTATTTTATCGTCTGCCCTCATCACCACCAGTTCCTCTGATCATTTTTTTTGTATGTTTCTACAACTCCTGTTTTCTACGGACTCGGAGCATCCATATTGTGTTGGACAGTATGCCACCACACCACACTTCTTCTTGTTTTGTTTTTTTTTGCCCTGTGTCCCACTTCTCTCCTTCTGTTCCTTCCCCTTCTTCTCTGCCTCCTGTCCTGATTTGGAAATGCTTCGGGCTTCAGCGAATGATGGTACATATTGAGGGAACTGAAAACCACTATGATCAGATAATTCAGCATCGCAATTGGCTCAACAGACGTAAGCTTCATGCGCAGTGATGGATTTCAGTCCTATTGTAACAAAGCTGTGCGTAGATAGTGGTGTTTTTGTGTTTCTCTGTTGGGTTTGGATCAAAAGCAATACAGGTGTTTGGCCCAGCAGGATAAATATGTCTGTATCTGAAATTAATGACCCCTCAGTGGGTTCAGTAATGCAGGGACTGTGCAGCACTGTCCATGTTATTTAACTGGCAGAATACCGCCATCTGGTGGTGAGATGTGTCATTGTACTTTTTTGTGTAAACTAAATAGCTTCTTTCATTTTTATCTCTTTAAAACATGTGATAACAATGTTTATGCAGAGATATAGAAGATCCTCTAAGGAAAAAGAATGAGTTTTTGATGTGAGCGTGTACCTTTTTGCCTACATGTTGTCTCCAGCACTGTAGCCAGAGATCCAACTTCCAAATCAGCACACATCTTTATTTGATTTCTTTTTTTATGCCTCATTTCGTTACGTTGCTGGCCGTTTTGACATTTTTTAACCATTTTTATGTCTGAAAATGGTTTTATCAGTTCAGCCACATTATCTCCTTTTTTCCTAATACCTTTCTTTGCCTTACTTTCTATGAAGCACATTCAAAATGCACGACTTTAATAAAGAAAACCAGCCTTCTTGGAATTAGGGCTGGGCGATATTACCTAAATATTACAACTATACATTAGGGGATTTTGATGGTACATGTAAAATGCTGGGTTCCTTTGCACCGCTGGGATCATTTTGAAAAATTGGAATCAAGTTAGTAAAAACAATTTCCTTCCAGTATATTGTATCTTTTTCTTTTCTTTTTATATAAACAGAGCATTTCTGGGGAAGAAAATTGGTTTGTGACTTTTTGTATTACAGATTTAAACTAATATAAATTGGCCCAGATAGCAGAACAATAACACTTTATGGGACAATATCAGCTCAATATGATCCTAAATATCTTCAAAAGGCACTTTAATAATGTCAAACACTTAAAACATAAGATAATACAAAATCTTGTGACCGCCTTTTTATTCCACATCATTGTTTCCACTTGCAGTTGTAGTAGAATTGACAGCTAAATGCATTTGCAACAATCATTGCTTGATGAGTTAAAGAAAAGAAAAATCCCACGATAATGAACTGACCGTATTGGGAGAGGTGACCTGACAGTCATCAGACCAGTGATCAGTTAACAATATGGTATGTTTGGTTTAAAATCTATATGATGAAACAGAAAACTTTTTTAAACATTAGCATTCGTTAACAACTGTGACACAGGCTGAAAACAGCTGCATAAAGAGCTGAATAAAAGCTGTTTTAGCCACTGATCAACTTAGTCACCCTAAGCAGGCATTAGTAAAGACAATGGTCATCATCTGACTCTAGTGTGATTTCTTCTTCTTAGATGAGAATACCAGCTCTGCCCCTTGTTTTGTCCAAGCAGCAGCTTCTCTGTGTGGTTCCTTGATGTTTCCTGGAGTCTAACTCATCTGCACAGCAGCCTACAACCTGCAGAGTTTTCTATCTATTGATTCAAAATTTGTTAGACTGTCAGCTGGACTGTAGCCTCATCAGGGGACTCCTCTTTGGTGCAGCTAAATGCACTCCTGCTTTTAACCAGTCCATTGGTCCTGAGTGGTTTTCATTCATAAATAGGTTCTACGTAGGTATGTTGTCACCATGAAGCTCCTGGAGAGAACGGATGAGACGGATGCAGTTAGGAGAATTGTGAAATATTAAACTCCCTTTAAATGTAGTTTGCTAAGGAAGTCTCTGTTCGATAATTACAGGATTTTAATTTTGGAGGTCTTAAGTAGACGGAAATTCAGCGTGCTGTCTGGAATATATTTGGCTTATCGCCCAGCCCTACTAGGAATAAGATCCTTTTTGGACACACCAGCCTTTAATTACAGCAGTGAATCCTCTGTCTCAAAAATAGACTGCATGAAAACAATGACTGCATGGATATTTTTAAGCATATTTTGTTTATACCGTTTAAATAAATGAGTTTCTTTAAGAAGCAGAAATGCAGCTTCCTGTTTCTTGGCTTCTTTGTTTTTGCAGTAGATGTTTTTTTTTGTTTTGTTGTTGTTTTTAGATGAATGCTGCCAATGATTCGTTTCTTCTGATTCAGCTACCTGAGGCATGGCCTCAGCTGGGTTTTTGTTTTATGTTTGGAGCTCTCTCTTTAAGTACACCCTCCCCTCACCCTAACCTCCTCTTCAACCACTTGTTTATACTCTGTTGTCTCTCTTGGATCTCCCTTCCCTCTACCTTTTTTCCTTCATGCCCTCTCGTGCCCTGCTCTTAACCTGACCATTTGAAGGACGGATGACGAGGACGGAGAAGATGAGTCGGGCGCCTCACGCGGCGTGCACGATAACCTGTACCGCGTTCACATGCCCAGTCTCTACAGCTGTGGCTCCAGCTACGGTAGCGAAGCTAGCCTGCCCGCCACAGCGCACACTGTCAGCAATGCCCCCGTCACTGAATACATGTGAGTTAGCACCCACCGCCAGCTAGAGGCTAGCAGGACCAATACACTGCGTGCCATAGGCTGCTGATGTGAAGTCTTCCCAGCTTAGGCTGCTGTAGTTAGATATTCATCATAGAAAATTGTTAATAGATCTAGATCTCCTGTTCGAGAATAAAAGCCTGATTCCTCTTTTAGTCAGAATCTCCACAGTATTTTCAAAAACCAAATAAATGCAGTGAATCTATGTTAGCGCTCCTATAAAATAAGCTAATGATGTCACCTTGCATGCTGCGTGTTGATGCCACTGGATAAACCTTTATGCCCAGAACAACAGTAAAAAGCATATTAACTAATATGCTTGATGCTTTTTAAACCAAACAAGAAAAATGTTTTATCTGTCTTAAACAAGTAGGAGCCAAGTGTTGGAATATTTGTCTTGGCTTACCTGTTTACAAAGCCTTGAACAACTCTTTTTCTTTTCATTTTATCCCACGTTACAGCCACAGGCTTAAATTAACTTCTTAATTAGATTTTAAGTGATAAAAAACACAGACCAGAGCTGAATTGCGAACTTAGATAGAAATAATACAGATTTTGAATTTTAAAGTGTTGGATGGATCGAGCATCTATAAGGCGATTTTAAATGTTTGGTCTAAACTTTATCCAGGTTCATTTAATTAATCAATATCCTCTGATTAAAAAATATTTAATTGTAGGGATAGTAGGTTTATGGCTATTGTCCAGCTAGAAGATAAATCCAGGTTTTCTGCAACTTGTACAGGTTTTGTTCCAGTATTGTACTCTATTAAGCTGCTTCAGCTCTCCATTAAATCAGAGTTACTTCTCCTGGAAAAAAAATAATTTGCTAACATGAAACTACAATCTGTAGCTATGTTTATAGTCACAAATTCATAGTCAGATTTAAATACGTTTGTGCTAAAAAACAAAACAAAAAAACAAATATGATCAGATTGTATCGTTTATATGGACATGAGTAATCTGAATAAATGGCCGATTAAACTAAAGATCTTACATGTAAACGATCTGCCATTTATTCCAATCACCTACGTCAATGTAATGTAGCTTATGTTTTGTTTTTTAGCCTGTGTTTTAAAGTCAGGATAGTTTTCAGGGTTAGCTTTCTGCTAACATAGGGTTTTCCCTTTAGGTTAAAATATACAAAGTTTATCTTATTTTTACATTTTTGCCATTTCTCCTATATAGCAAAATGGAAACCAGATTTATCATTATTTTCTATCAACAATGCCTTCTTTGCTTCACTCTCTTATAAAGGAGTGTCAGCAGATGACAGGTGCCAGAGGTCTACATCCTGAGCCGTAGATCAGTACTCTTGGCTGCTTAGGTGGACATTTTAATATATATATATAGTATCGTCATTTATTTTCCAAATTAATGTAACTTAATATCTTCCAATCATTTAAAATTGTTCTAACACACCTTAAGGTTTGTTCTTCTAATGAGATAAATCCTTTTAGGAACTATTGCCTTATTTTTGCAAAATCTTTCAACATATTGATCAAAAGTATCCCTGATACTATTAGATTAATGTATTAATGTTTATTTTCCTGTGGCTCCTCATGTTTATTTTTGGTATATATTGCCATGCTGAAGGTGCATCTATAGTTAAGATCATTTATCCAGGGGCAATAATCCGAGTTGTAATGAGAAGCTTAGAGCTCAGGAACAGATCAGGAGCTCGGCGGCAGACTGACCACATGCAGTAACCTTGTATTTTACAATGCAGGAGCCAGAACGCAAACTTTCAGAACCCCCGGTGTGAGAACACCCCCTTGATTGGCAGGGAGTCCCCTCCACCCTCTGTAAGTGCACACTTTTTAGATCACACTCTCCCTTCTGCTGTCTTCCAATAGCCACAGCAGAGCTGGAGAACATTTAAGACTCCCAGAGATTTGATTTATTTGTTCCACAAATAGGAAGGAAGGTGTGCATCATTGGCCATCTTTATAGTCTAACAGCATTCTGTGTGTGGATATTGGAAGGCAGTCCTTTTTCCCTACATCAAGTGTTTCCCTACAGCAAGTGTCATCTTTGCTCAAACTAGAGCGTGATCATGGTTCACTTTACAAGCGTCATTTTGGCAGCCTGGGATAACTGGAGCTTGAAAAGAAGCAGTTTGTGTGTGAACTGAAAGAGAATATCAGCTGTTGGCCTCTATTTCTGATGTACAGTGGGTGAAAATTCACCTAGGTGTTATGAACGTTTTGCAGACTACATGTATTCATTTTTATTGTTAAGCAAAACTGATTTATACATAAATATACTAGCTGATATGAATTTTAGGTGCATCTCAGTTAATTGGTATATTAACAGAGGGCACTTTTCTAGTAACAGCAGTTCAGATTGTCACTTCCATACTACACCAAACAAACTAAGATATTGAAAGAGTTTATGTCGATTTATCTCATGAATTGTTATTAAAACCTCAAATCAAGTTTAGACATAGTTTCAATATTACATAAGACCAAAAACTAATTTTAAGACAGAAACACCAGCCTACTTAAATGATATCCATGTGCTGCACGGTTCATGTATTCATTGTTTAATCAGAGCTACATTTGCATGAATTAATGCGTCAGTGGAGTTAATACTTAGCAGTTCTTCCTTAATTCTTGACATGGTTTAGATCCGTTTTCTTGGCAGCCAGTCAAAGTGCTACTTTGTTCTGGTCAGTTCTGCAGGTGTGGGTCCCTCTGGCAATGTGGGCAGGAGCTGCTGGAAAATCAAATTAGTCCATAAAGCATGTCAGCAAACAGGAGTATAAAATGCTTTAAGTTTTCTGGTAGACGTTTGCACTGGACTGGACCTCTTCCTGTCGTGGACCAATGCTATGACTGCATGGACCTTCGAATAGGGATTAAAAATGCCTCATATTTGGTCTTATGTAATTTTATTTTTATTTTGTGGTAATCTGAATTTTGGGTTTAATATTCTAAAAGAAATACTTGACATATATGAATGCGTTTGGTAACTAAACGAGTCCTAAATGAAGTAAAGGTTTCAATGATGGTCTTCCTCAATGAGATCATTGTCTACTGGTGATTTGGGCTTAGGCTACAGCTGGGCTTGTGTTTGTTGAGGAAAAAGAAATCTGGCATCATTTCGCTTTGATGCTGTGGACTGTGGTAATTGATCCCTATAGATGCGTTCTGTGCCTGCAGTCTGAACGCTGCGTTCGCTCGCAGTCATTTTTTTTTTGAGAGAACTTCAACACCCCTGAAAAAAAAACTGGAGCCCAAACCTATGAAGGTCCTGCTTTCCCCTCCCTCCTGTTCCACACTGTGTCTGTGTGTGCACATCTTCTAGTCGAGGTGTATGTGTCTGCTGTTTCTGTGCACCCCCTCACCCGTCACCTTTCACCGTCGAACAGCCACACCGCCACTTTCCTCTCCACATCCACTGTCACCAACGTCCACAAATGGCCGCAGCTCGTCTTTTTCACAGAAACAGCTGATCATCTGCCCTCTTCAGGGATGTGGAAACCAAAGAGCCTTCTTCTGTAACTATCACACGAAAACCCACTAACTTTACCAGGCTAACCTACTACATCAGAAGTAGAGAACTAATTGAATCCCATCTCCTGATCTGTGATAACATCACGTAGCTCTAATCAGCAGCTAAATAATAAATCACTGTTGTTATCAGATCCTGGCTGTCCAAATGACTGATCACATGACCTGTATGTGTGTGTTTATCCTTCCATCTTCCTGTAATTGACACCAGATATTTACATAAACTGTATAAAGAAAGAGGAGATCAAATCTACCTGTTTTAATTTAGGCAGGAAAAAAAAAATGCTGAAAATTATTTCTGTATAAATACCTAGAATGTTGAAGTTTACTGAGGTGGAATTCTGTTTAAAGAACAACAGTGTTTTCCTGCAGGATTTTCAACTGTTTGCTCTTTGCACTGGTTGATGATGGCCGGCCCAAAACACTGACCCTCTGTCCTGATGCCATTTTATCAAAGAAAGGAAACACTCTATAGCTTTGTGACTGATCCTATTTATGCGACGATGTCATCCATCTGCGCTAATTCATACAGTAAAACAATCACACAGCATGATGCTGTCACCCCCATGTTTCCCGTTTAGGATGGAGTCATAAAAGGGCATGACACCAGGGCATGTCTCCAAAAGACAAGAAGAGACCTTATTCATCTCCTAAGAGGGAAACTGGATTGTCACAGCAGTTAGCATGTCTGTTCCTTATTTTATTCTCTGAGTCGCCTTTTAGCTCATACTGGACTTATTTCACTCTTAACAGGCAAGGCAAGTTTGTTTATAAAGCACAATTTAGTACAAAACAGTAAGAGAGATAGAAAATAAAAGCAGTATGAAATCCAGTTCAGATAAAAACACATTAAAAGCAGGTAGTGATAAAGGCTGTGTTGTATCCGCCTCAGACAGCATCCTCACACGTCTTTGTCTTTCATTCTAAAGAAAAACATGTTCATCAAAAAAATAAATAAAACTGATTTCTTCCTACAATGAAATCTCAGATTGGCCTTCAAATGTTCAAATAAAACATCTATCAGAAAATTAAACCCAAGGAGAATCAATGTAAAAACAGTTTTGTCTCCATTGAACTCTTTTTTTTTTTTTTTTTTTTATTAACCTATTAGAAGCTTACAAAGCTATGACATCATCGTCTAAGCTTTACTAAATTGTTTGAAGGCAAAATAACAACTTTGAAGAGGTTTGTAACGTCTCTGTATTTTTTATTTTTTTTTATCAATAAAATAAAATTATCTTAATTTAGTAAAAAAAAAGGAAGCATTCAATCTGATTTTATGCCAGTAAGAATAAAAGCTTTTCTTTTTTAACGGTGTGTGTAAATATCTGGGTTCAGCTGTCGTCCTGCTGGTGCATCTGTTGTATGAAGGTTTAACTTTGTCCACCATGGTTCCTTTTTCCTGTTCCTTCCTTTTCTTCTTCTCTTCCCTCTCTCCATCCAGTACACCTCCAGTATGAGAGCAAAGTACCTGGCCACCAACCGACCGGAGCAGAACCGCCGCTCGGTTCCCAACGACCAACTGGATCCAGCGAGTCGGCCTAACCCTGCAGCCCGACCTCAGTCCTCCGTCCACTAGAGACAAATTCAACGCAGCACTGCCTCAATTTGTGTTCTCACAGCCAACAGCAAGACCCAACACAGCGCTCAGGCCGGAGCACGGCTAAGTGCTTTTAAGCTCCGGCAGGACCCCACATCGCAAAGTCCTCAGAATCTCCCTAAAACGGTACCAGAAGCAACACCTCCTGCTCTAAAGGGTAACTGTTTTGACGTCTCCGCCACCTCTATGATGAGTCGCTCCCGTTCCCCTCTGCACCTTCTTCCCTCTGATATCTCCCGTTCCGATGGGATCTGTTCGCTGCCTTGCCAGTCAGTTTACCCCCCCCTCAACTCCTGGACACCTTTACATTTAAATAACACACACAGTGTACATACAAAGCTGTAAATAGTGCAACATGCGCTTTATTCTGATTTCATTAAGAGTTAGACTGTTTAATCCTTCCTGGTTATGTGGTGTGCTTCGTGTTCATCATGGAAACTCTTTGCTGTATTTCTTACACAAACACACACAAACTGGCGGATAAACTAACTGAAGCTCATGTGTATAAATAAGCCAGTGACTCAGAAAGCCATGATAATAGATAGAAACCTAGCTGTGCCGCCACACACATTCCCTCTTTGACTCGCCGTTTAGGACTTGAGTCGGTGCGTCTACATCTTGTTTACGTGCCCCGTCTGCACACGCATTGATTAATGCATTTTGAAGTCATTGAACCTGGAGCCCTGTTGTGCAACAAATCATCTCGGAAGCGGACGCTGGAAAGCACGGATGCAGATAGGCTCAACTAGTGCCAAATAAACTGACAAATAAAAATAGAAGATGCCTGATTCTGTTGTCGTCCCACTGCCTTCGGATGACGCATAAAGGGAAAACATGGAAGGGGCGTGAGTCGTGCAGCTGTCAGTGATGTGGGAGCGGATACTTGGAAGGTGAATGGACAGACATGTTGGCGATTTTAAAACTTGTAAGGTGCTATTTAAAGCTGTCAAAGTCTCAAAAGGTCAAGTAGAGAAGGACGAAAGTTCTATTTCCATTTTGGGTTGTAATGATGGGACATATAGTGCCTCGTAAAGGTGTTCCTAGCTCTTCAAGCTTTTCCCCTTTATAACCACAGACGTCAGTGTATTTGAATGGATTTTATTTGACAGACCAACAGGAAATTAAACATCAAACTGTGTCTTTTTGCAAATGCAAAATACCCCAAGCTCAATCAGATTGAATAGTGAACAGACATTTTTAAGTTTCACAGCAACTAAACGGCACCTGCTGGATTTTCTGGGGTTAAGCAGCTGCCTCTGCCTTACATTTAACCAATGGGAACCTTCCAGGTGACATGTACCTGTTCTGTCCCGATGTTAAATTTAAGTCTTATCTAACAAGAGGCACCTTCTACCATAATTTGGCATTGATCCCTACACAATTTATCTTCCTAAAGCTGTTGGTTCACTAATTTTCTCTAATAAACTTCAGTGGACTTCCCAGGAAATCATTATTTATGAGATTATATGACCAGAAAATATAAAATCCAGTATTACTTTTATATTAATTCACAATCGCGTCTTACTTTGCTTTGGTTTGTCATGAATCTCCACTGAAATACATTGAAGTTTGTGGCAAATTGATCAAATGTGAAAAAAAAATCCAAGGGGTCTGCAATATGAGGCACTTCAGCAAGCACGTTTGACTGGATCAAACACTTTTCCTTTATATCTGCTATAACATGAAGATCTAAAGTAAATCAGGAGGATTTGTTTTTTTTATGCAAAATACTGTGACCAGCTGTAGTTATTATTTTCTTTATGTTCTTGTATCCTTCCTTTTTCAGTTTGATACAGTATATACTTTTTTTTTTTTTTGCCTTGCACCACAGTGAATTTTTTTTTTTCTTTATCAGTCAAGCACAAATTCTCCGGGAGTCGACTTTACAAGATGGGGAATTTAAAACTCACTGCCTGGGACACTGCCATGTGGCTTTTCCTCCTGCTCTAAAACTGTACAGTGTAAAGACAGAAACAGAAAAAAACAACAAAAAGAAAAAAGCTGTAGTTGTGAATCTGTGTGTTTTACATCTCTGCAGCGTGATTGGCTAACGCTCTTATCTCAGTGTTACTCTGTGCGAGTACAGTCCATCAGTGTTTTAGCCAGCCTAAATAGCCTGAGTCACGTCTACATCACAGCAGCCCACACACATTGCCGTAGATGTTCTTATACATGCTTCATAGGTACATTTACACATTAAAATCTCTCTTTCCATCATTTTTTCCTGTTTCCATCAGGAGCTGTAGTAACTGCACGATCTCATCGCACTGATTTGCATCATAGGTGACATATTAGGTATAGATGGAGTTTCACGATGAGCAGCCTGACATTCGTAGGTGTTTTCACCCCCACCGTTCTTATAAAGGATTCTAATCTTGTCTGCTTGAATTAATCAATGACAAATTCTCGGATCAGCGAGACAATCTAACATTTGTGGTTCTACTAGAAGGAAATATCCATGTCGAGATAATGCTACCTATGGTCTAAGACTTTACTGTGTTTTCTTGCACCAGTAATGGAAACAATGTTATGATCTTTGGGTCACTGATGAGTGGCCTCTCATGTTTAAATGCTCTTTAAACACTTAATATGTTTTTTTTTATTTTTATTATTATTTCTTCTGTCTTGTAAAAAAAAGACTTTAGAGATGGAATAATCACTAGCTGTTTTTTTTAGGGGGATAACGAACATTGTTTTTCCTTTGCATTAATTGTGAATGATTTTCTGTATTGCAATGTTTTAATTATTCCAGTGTTTTCTGCTCACCTGAATCATCAGCTGTATCTGAAGTTCTGTGCAGCGCTCAGTGCTTGGTTTCAGGGAGGATCTGGAGCCACGCCTGTGATTAGAAAACAGTGATTTGTGTGTGAGTGTGTGTGTGTGTGTGATGCCTACAGAACTTCATATACAACATGTGTACAGATGTGACAGACGGACAATGTTTTCTATCGATGTTTTTATTTTTCCGATGGTTTTAACTGATATTAACGATATACATGTCAGAACTGTGGTAATGATATTTCAGCCTGGAATAAATGTTCAAAACATGAAATTAAACACTTTTAACATACGATTCGAGGCTCTGGTCCTTTCAATATTTAATGGTATCTCATTGCAATCAGGCTCTTAACATTTGCTGGATTATCACCATTAACGTTTCATTTTTGTGTGATTTCTACTACCAGTTTCTCTATAAACCCTCAGTTGCCACTAGGTGTCAATGTTGACAGATGTATCTATGAGAAGTATTTTCTGAGTGAGCCATAACAGTGTCATAGTTGGTGTGGCTATGCTCATTTAGCCTGGGATCTTATAGAGGTCACACACATAGAAGGTGACCCACCCAGATCAGAACCAGTGGAACAAACTAACCGGGTCAGAGATATTTCCAGGAATACTCCTGCTGGTGTAACAACAAAAAGTACACAAGGTTAGGGATTTAACAGAAACACAAAACAACAAGGAAGTTGATTCATTACAGTTTTATTGACCGTAATGTATACATACAATCCAGATACTGGATAGAACATGGAGCACAGGGACAAAAGCTGCATATAAATGCACAGAAAGATGAGATACAACTCAACGTGAGTTACCTTAGAGCTGGACTGCTGCAACATTGTAAGAGCAGTCTAAACTTCATGCTAATCACAGTTCATCCATTTCTCTTGAATAGAGCAAGAAAAGTCCACTTAGACTTCATGAATTGTTCAAAATAGAAATTTAGCTAAAGGGAAAATGTTGCAAGCTATGACCTTCAAGGATAACGCAGCAGAGAAACTTTGAAAGTATTCGTTTTGAAATGTCTCACAAATTTATCTGCCAAAATGTTCCCCTATGGTATCCAGGTGCTTCTATTAAAAAGAGCCAGTGTAAAAAGAGAAAACAAGAAAGTTCTCACATATATACATCAAATATAGGTTAATACTTTTCAACATGGAATTAAAATGGCAGTCTTTCTTCCTAGATTACTTCATTTTATCCACAGTCCTTCACAGAGCAATCTGATAGAGAGGAGGCAGAGAAAGCTCATTTATGTCATCCTTAAAAGGTTCAGTTTGTACAATGATTAGCGCATACTAAAAAAATATGAAGTAATTCACTTGGATAAGAAAGACAGGCACAAGTTAAGACTTGATATGTTGTCGTAATTAAAAAGAGTTTAAAAGTCAAGCAGTTTGCCAAAGAAATGATATAACGTTGCTCCCAAAAACATGATAAATCCTTGTCAGCAAGAAGGCTGAGATAATCTTTCTATTTATAGTTTTCCTACATCTTTTACACTCAATCACACAAGAACTCAGAAATCCTCCAAAGTGCTGAAGTATCTATGGCCTCACTTAGGCCTGAATGTGGTGCTGTTACACCGCCAAAGACTGGTAACTATTCACACCCCTGGAAGATTTTAAATTCTGTTGAATTTTTGATTCCTGCTGTAATTGTTTCCACTGGCATTTAAACCAGAGGTCAGCAACTTTATTAAGGCTGAGATCTACAGCAGAGCCATAGGAAGGGCTACCAATACTGACCTATGAACTGGAGGGGTCAGTGTTCACCTAAACCTTACACATAATAAACATATTTATATTTTTTCCTTTAATTTCCAATTTTTTATTAATTTAGATGTCATTTTGAAATCTCTATAAATGTCTAAATTCTCTATATGATTAAATTATTAAAAAAGAAGTGCATCAGAATACAATGAAATCTCAAACTTAGCCCTCTGGTGAGTTATTCTGTTTTCAGAAGGCACTACATTGGTGACCCCTGATCTAAATTATGCCTTTACAGTCTGAGGTTGGAAGGCAACATTGCCATCACCCTAATCTATGGCTTCCTTCATAGGTTCCAGGTCACTCTAAAAAATACTCCATACTCCAAAAAAACATGTTTGTTAAAAAAAAAAAAAATCAGTCATTCAACCTTAATCTGCTGAACATATAAATACATTTTGGCATTAGCTGTACATCAAAAACAGATGAAGGCATGGATCATCAGCATAAAATGCGTTTCAATTTGGGTTCATTCAAATTTAAAGTTATGAAATCCATTTATAAAGTCACATACTGGTTTGGCTAATAAAAACTAAATAGATACTATTTCTGGCTATTTATTCCCAGCTTAACAGCACCGAAACTCTGTGGCCAAACAACCTCATTTCTGTTCTTTAGCATAAAAGTAAAGGACTTTTCTGTGTTACTTCACTCAGGAACAAGGGATTTGTGATTATTGGCTTGATTTCGAGGCCCTTTGACCCAAAGAGTGATACGCATGCAGGGTAAGAACGAATGCAGGCTCTTGATAAAAAGGGTCGTTGCAAAATGTAAGGAAAACATTTCCTGTTCCTGCCTGTCAGTGCAGGTTAGCACCAATCTGCTCCAGTTCCATTGGTTCGTCGCTCTCTCCTTTGTCTTTAGATGGAGGTTATAGTCACAAGAGGCTGGGGCACCAAGAAGTGTCTGGGTACAACAGACAATGGACAGATCTGAATCTGAGAGAAAGAGGGAAACATGAGTCACAATGCCTGGAAACCCCCAACTGCTGATTTCAAAATAAAGCCATGAAAACAATCAGCTTCAGACACATAATGAACAAAGCCAGGAAGCTCATAGTATTAGAACTCCTACAATAAGAGTAACTTTAGTACATTTTTAAAAACAAAAGCTTTTCTTACAGCACACTTGCAACGCTGTTCTCCTTAGATGTGGCTAACTAATACAACAAAATGAACTTCAGTGGAATTTATTTCACCATTTCTGCTCCTAAGATCAACCTTTAAGCCATTTGAAAGCCTTTTAACACTGACAGTTATTTATCTCCATCCATCTTTGTGTCTCCTTTATTATATCCCCACAGTATGATTCTGCCATTGTCATGTTTCACATGGTGGGTGATGTGGGTGTAGGATTGGTTTTCCTTAACAATTAAGCCTCTTTTCCACTGAAAATAGTGTGTTAACCGTGGCTTTTCAAACATGGGTCACCTCTAACATTCGGCATTGGAAAAAAAGGCTGGGACTGACCCCACCGTAGACAAGCTGCATGGCCTCTGTCACTCCTATGTTAGTGTTGATGTCACCAGTGCGAATGGAGCCAGGACGTAGTAAGTGTGCCTTAGTATTTCACTCTTTTATCTTTCCGAATCCCTCTCACCAATGCTGTTCCATGTTTATCGAATGTAAACAGAGCCGTTTTAGCTTTTTAGATCAGTATGTTGACATCCGTACGTTGCGCTCAGTGGTATCATGTACATCAACCCAGGTCTGATGCTCCCACAGCATGCTGATCAGAGCTAAGGCGTTTTAACCCGGGTCGCTTGTTGAGTCTTTTGACTGTTCCCACTGCCACTAAAAGCCAATTTTTCCCGGGTTTAATCTGTTTTTTTGGCCAGTGGGAAAGGGGTATTAGAGTCTTTTATATAAGCTAAACTAGTTAGCTTAAAGGCCTTCCTTCCATGTGTGTTTTTAAATCCCCAGCATGATTCATGATATACACTTCCACCTAACCTACTGTATGGGGGGTTTCAAGCTTCTGTGCTGAAGTCTGTCTCATGCTCCCATTGGTTGCTCAAAGCCTTTTGCTCACTAATGTTCTTAAACAACATTCTGAAGCCTGCAGAGTATATATTGTAAAGCTAACATTACACACATGCTGATTTTAGTAATTATGCAACTTCGGACGGCATTAGGATAATTATTTAGGGGGATTAGAATAAAAATAAGGTTTATGTATCTACATGACATAGAAAATCTAATAGCTTTTTATGGATGCATGGCAGCAGGCTAATTTTATTCACCATCAGGGTAAGTAAAAATAAAACTACTTTAATAACAAAAGATTCTAACAACAAAGTCAATCAAAAATGACTGAGATCTTGATTTTATCCAATTGTCTTTTCAATTTAGATGATCTACCTGTTATGTTCACACTGCAGGCCTTGATGCTCAAATCCGATTTTTTTTTTTGCGTTGCCGTTCACATTTCCAAATATATGCGACTGGTATGTGATCTCCTGTGTGAAATTTAGTCATACAAAGCAAGTGTCCCGCATGCACAGTAGAGGTGCGATGACATCAGAGGCCAGCGTGCTCTGTGTTACAGAAGTAAAAATGGATGGTAGTGCTGGAGCACATCTAACAACCTTTCCCAACCATAAAAACACAATCTTTTCAAGATGGTTAAACATAAATACTGCTCTCCGCGTCATCGTCCGCCATTGTTGTTGTTTTTCTTGCCGCTTCTTCATAGCAAGACCCAGAATAGAGACCTTTGTCGGGTATAATTGGCGTTTAGGTCGGATGAATCTGACCTGGCCATTCAGACACAGGTCGCATTTGAAAAGATCAGATTCAGGACCACATAGCCAAGTGGCCTGGGTCGCACTGGAAAAAATCCGATCTGTGTTTTTCAGACAGCCATGAAAAGATCAGATCCAGGTCGCATAGTGGCCAAAAAATCGGATTTGGGTCGCTTCAGGCTGCAGTGTGAACGTAGCCTTAGATCTCTGTTACAAGGTTCAACAAGATGAAAAGAAGTCAATGTGGTGGAAAGTGTTTTCACCTGGTGGGATCCTCCTTAGTGGAAAATGGTCCTTTCACATTAACAGTGTTCCTGCGGTTTTCCACAGTGCCGTAGCTCAGAGTAACCTGATTAGAGGAACAGAAACAAAATTAAAATGTGCGATCAAATCTCTTTTAATCAACAGTACTCATCACATGGTTTGTGGTGAGTGTACCTGGTTGTGTATGTCTGTAACCACTCCCAGGTTCTCAAGGTGGGAGTGAAACAATGCTGAGCGGGTTAGGCAGCCCCCCAACAACGCTTCCACTATGTAGCCAACAGTGCAGTCATCAGGCAGGCGAATGTGGTCAGCTGTGGCCATGAACGTTCCTCCACTGATGCACAGCACAGAAAGATGGGGGTTTATAATGCTGTGGTTAAAACAGACTCTCTTCTAGACTGTTCTTTAGTGGGAGATTTACCTGGCCCAGGGTTTCATCTTTAGAGCAAGCCCATGGCTCAGACAGAAGCCCGCTCCTCCTGTGGCGAACCAGAAACGGACTTGTTTCTTCATACACACAGAGACAAACAGGGTGAGACAAATATCCCATAATGAATATAATCCGTACTGTAATTCACCCACAACAAACCTAGCTTTTAAAATTCACGTTAGGAAACATCATAAAGTAATCCTGCATTTTATTTGCGGCATAAGTTCGGACTTGGATCTTGGAATGATGTCACACCCAGTTTACATTAAAATACTGTTAACGAGTTAAACTAATAAATCTCTATGCAATAAAACAATTGAACACCTTAAGATCCCTGAGGTTCTGTACAATACTATGTGTGAGACTTCATATTTAATATTAATATTTAATATTACATATTATGTCATTTGACTTGACTTAGTGAAATATTTCTGCCACTATTTATCCTTGTGGCAGCTATATTGGAGAACAGCTTAAAGTTTTGCATTTTAATCCCATTCATCTGTTCTTATTATCTGTTCTATGTTGATGAGTGTTGGCCTAGTAGCTTGGAGCAGTGTTCCTGTGCTCTGAGAATGTTTCAAGTATCCTGTTCGATCCCCACAGCCTCCACTCTGGGTTCATGAGTAAAACCCTTAACCCCACACTGCTCCCCAGGGGCCACACAATGGCAGGCCACTGCTCCCCAAGGATGGCTTAAATGCAGAGGTAAATTTCCCCATTGTGGGACATTATAAAGCTTCCATTTGGCAAAATAAGATATTAAACACTCCATTTTTCCATTAAGAATCAGATTATCAACACTAAATAGCAATTATAAAAAATATATTTTCTCTCCATTCAGCTATGAGTTGTCAGCAAATTATTTTTATTACGAACAGAGGTGACCATAGACCACATCTCTGGGAGCGAAATTTGCAGGAAAAAAAATTGGTTATGCTAATAGATTAACCAAAATAAAATGGTCAAGAAGCTGAAGGCCTTTGAGTAGCTTTGGCATACAACAAATGCCATTAGCACTGGTTTAAAAATTCATGGCTAATTCATGGTTTTAAAAATTAATGGCTAGCATTTTTTTGTTTATATTTGGAGGCATGTGGATACTTCCTGTAACCTTGAGATTTTCAGGATTAGCATGTTCCATTACAGACCAAACGTCCAATTTATAGTCGAACCTTCCTGTTATCTCCTTTAAGTCTTGCTCTCTTGCACCCGAAATAAACAGTACAGAGGTCTCAACATGTTATAGACAACTAGTTCCTGTTTTTTTTACCCTTTTCCCCCTTAATTCTAAACACCTAACACATATGTTTCTTTGTTTCTTTTTTAAATGTGGATTAGGGTTTTGGACTAGGCTTTCACTAGTCAAGGCCAGTTGACCTCAGTGTCCTCTAATATCAGTCACTGGTCATTTTTTCAGCCCTGTCTTCAGCTATCCACATTGGAAATTTGTTTTCAATAGCCATTCAAGTTGATTATTTTCTTTCCACAACTGAACACAGTGTCATTCAATCTTGTCTATTTAATCAAAGACTGGCTGGGGAATGTGAGAGAGAGAACCTGTAAAATGCTTACAAACAAGTCCCTGGAAGTATTTTGATGAGGCACTGCAAGATTATTGGGTCTCAGGAATGATTTTGAGGCTGCTATCAAACAAGAGAAAAGCTCTTACCATCTCAGTCATGCTTAGAGTCTCTGTTGCCTCAATTGGCCTTTCCAGGCTGGGCCTACCGATGTAAACGTCCTGTGTGTGGCTGTACTGTGACAGCAGCTTTAGGAGGGAGCCAACGTTCAGGTAGTTATCATCATCAACATGACAGAACCACCTAAAACACAGCATGCTCACAGTCAGCGTGCAGCCTTGTCTGTATTCATAAGCTGCAGATCTGTTAGATTAGGTCTCTGACTCACTTTTTCCCAGAGTTTAGAAACGTGTCGTACTCCAGAGCCATTTTACAGGAGAGGGCCTGACGAGTATGGGCAGCCGAGCAGTTGCTGTTGATCAGATGAGCTCCTGAGGATCAATTTAAAGCAGAAATCAGTCATCAGTCTTCAAAAGACAATAAACATGGTAAGAAAATTGGTGTTTTTGAAACACAGATGTCATTTCTTCATCAGAGCAGAAACAACTTCATTTAAATCAAATCAACTCGTTGATTCATGTTATAAGAGTTTAGTGTTGGAAAACCTAAAACCTATCATTCTGCTGTGCAGCTGTGAACATTTGCCACCAGTGATTTGCAGCAGCGCTCCTTTAAGGTTTACATTTAAGAAAACTATTATTTCTTAAATGTAAACCTTTCCTGTGTTTTTATATTTTTATGGACATAAAAGCCCAAAAAATCACCCTAAATGTGTTTTACTTTTAAAATTTCACAACATCAAACTGAATATTAATTTCTATTTGTTTTTTTCTTTCACCATTTAGCGAAAGTTTAAAGTGTATAATCGCCATTATACATTTGATAATGTAATTATCAAATGTATAATGGCGAGTAAAATGTAAGCTTGATCATCCTGGTTTTTTTTTGTTTGTTTTTTATCTCAGTTTGTATACAGCAATGCCTTAATTTCCCCTTTTCATTCTTTATGTCTGGTTTTCACGATTTGTCATTGTCCAATAAGTTAAAAATTTTAAATTGTCTCAAAAATGTACAAGCAAAAATGAGGAGAGTGTTAATTTCTGCTTTGTATGAGTAGCTATTGAATGTTACAGTTCAATGAGCAGGAAATAGGAGGGCCTGTGGATTAAACTAAACAGACTTCCTGTACTTCAAGGAAACATTACTGCTCAGTCAGCAGGTTGGATCCTGCCTTCCCCTGCGGCAGATAACCTTGGACAGAGTCAGTAAAACTTGTGAGTACGCATGCTGCTCACCCATCTTTTTCTCCAGCCTTTCATCCTCTCCATCAGTGAAGACATACGTCTGTGAAGTAAAAATAAAACAAACACATGAACGTATCTCCATTAATGACCGCAGACACAACAAAACACCCTCATCCAGCTGCTGGCTTTGCTTTGTTTTTCAGTTCACAGTTTGTGATTTCAGGTGAAACCCCTCTCCAGCGTTTCCGTAAACCCCCAGCATGCAGTGCTGATTCTGGACGGAGGCCAAGCCAAAGGTAAGCCTCCTGTCCATCAGCGGCGCAGCAGCTGCTCTGGGACGTGTTGCTGTTAGGGGTTCTGTGAGTGTTTTTGTGACGAGTGATGAGGATGAGGGTCACTTAGTATTCAGGAAGCAGCAGAGATCCCTTATTTTTCCACAGGAAATGAAAACACACACTGAGCAAACACACACTGCAGTCTGTAAATAGTCTTTTGTCTGATTATGTATTTAAGGACAACAGATTTTTATTAGAATAACAAATTCATATTTATCTCATGGGGTTTACTATAAGCCTGTTTACAACCAAAAAGGGCGAAGAGCTGAAACACTAGTTTCCCTTGTGCTGCTATAAAAAATTGTTTTATTGAGTCGGCAAAGCCATTGATAACCCCCTGAACGTTTTTACATTTCATTATGGTTACAACTACAACTCTAACATTGGGTAATATATAGGGTTTTTATGTGGGTATGACTGTTGAGGATTTAATGTGTATAAAGGCTCACAGTGTAACTTTTGGTCATTAGGGGAGCTAGACCTGTAACTGTAATTGATTCTACTAAATCGAAAATAATAACTAAGATATATGGCTGTATACTAGGAGCAAAGTGTTAACTTACCAGTCTAACAATAAAGTTGAGAAAAGAGAATCGGGTTTACATCTGCCTTCTTCTTTCAGCCTTCGCCAATGAACAAACTCTTGTTTTTCCTTGTGCATGATCCCCTTCATGTTTTCTCTTTTTAGTCCCCTCAGAAGGTTTTAACTTTTTACTTGCCTCAGCCATGATCAGTAGTCAAGCAGGCGGAAAAATAATAGAGTAAAAGCCTTAGATCCATGACTATATATGAGCCTGTGGCCGTAAAGCGGTACGTTCTTCCAGGTCACATGCCCAAGCAACGATTGGTGCGTCTTCTCCCACATTTTTCTGTATTTCAAGATGGGAGCCCCGCTCAAAACACTGATAGTATCAAGTGATGTATATTGGCCTGAGGAATCATTTAAAATAACTGATATGCGTCAACTCTTTAGGACGCAAAGTCTGTGGAGTACCTTTAAGTTTTACAGAATTTTTTTCATTTGTAAAAATTTGAAAAGTGTGGTATTCATTTTCACCCCTCTTAATTAGTGCTGCATTCTTTTTCTGGAAAATGTCGCTAATAGTTTTGCAACTTTGCATCCTTTACTGTTTTTTTCTCTGCCTTCATTGCGAAAACCTCTCAAGCTCATTCGGGTTACATGGAGTGTCTGAGAACAGCTTATTAAACCAGAACTGGACCATTCTAACACACGTGTTATCTTTCATTTAAACCTTTCCATTGTTTCTCGTTAAGCAATCAACCTAATTTCAATGTAAAGGGAACATGAAACTAATTTAGACATTAGTCAAGACTAGGTTTATATCTAGTTGAGATTTAAACCTATTTAGGACGAAGCTGTTTAAAGCTGGTCTACACTTTAAGTTAAATTAATTTGTAAGGTCCAAAAAAGGCAGAAACTAAAAGAAAGATTAATCTGATATAATATAGCAATCTAATGTAAAACTTCTTTACTTGTGATGTTTCAGTGGATGGAAAATTTTGTTTCTTTGTTGCAAGTAAGTCAGATAATATTTGTAAATATAAGACATATCCACATTTACACTGCATTGACATGTTGAAGATGCATTTTAATCTAAAAAAAACCAAAATGTGCTCTGATGGCAGCAACACTTTCATTAGATACCAAAGTTTAGCTAATTGCATGAGACAGATATTGGTAACATGGATTGGAAACAGCATTGATGTTGCCGAGGAAGGTGGCAGATGAAGTCTAATTTGGATTTGAAATTTTCAGTAATAAATAATACGTGTAGCAATGTCCTGGACTGCTTTATTATATGTACAATAAATTAGCCAGTCAGATGGCTCAGTTAGGAAAGGAGAGGGCTCCTGATTGAAGGGTACGGGATGGTGGAGTGCCACTACAAAAGCTCTACATTTAGGCTTCTAATAAAGAGATAAAGGTCGTTCAATGACAAGCTGAGATACATTGGTTTGCTTATTCTTTTTTTTCCTCAGTATTTTACGTTTTGCCTCAGTCTTCCCCTCAATAACCGTGATTGTAGACAAAGAAACTCTCGCCAATAGAGCACATTTTTACCTCGTTTAGCCTGGGTTTCTTTCAAAATTTAGAAAATTGTAAAGAGGATTGATTCAACGGTTTTCAAAGCTAGGGAATTTGATTTAAAACCAAACCTTACTTTATAAACTTCTCCACAGCTTAATCCTTAATTGATCTTTGTGTTGTTTTTTGCTACGCCAAGGTAGACTCTACAAACTGTGTGACTTCTAAATAGATTTGTATTTTATTTCTGGGTAGCTGATTAAAGGAGGATGAATAAAAATGTACATCACCATTTCATTTTTTTTTTATTATTAATTCTACTTAAAAGTGTAATGGTTCAAGGTTATGAAAGTCACCATAGATCCAAACTAAAAAGGCATGTCTCTCCAGATGAACATTCATGCATCCAAATGTAATAACTCTTTTATTCACACACTGTGCTATCCCATCATCGCCTGTGGCTGCAAGAGGGAGGAAAACAAGACCAAGTCCAGCCAGCTGTGAGTTTCCATCACTCTTTTTTTTTTACTCCCCTCTTTGAATCAACTGCTTCATGTGTGTCTCACAACTGCAGGCCGGATTGAGGCAGCGGGGGAGGGAAGGGATGGGACGAGGAGAAAGTGTTGCTTTGAGGACTTGGTAGTGGAGGGAGGGGGTTTTTCTTCAGGAGCAGAGCTGTACAGCACAGGAAACAGCAGCGCTGCAAACCTCGAAGGCTGGAGAAAGTGATAAGTGTTTGTGATCAGACACTTGTTTAACTTCCCATGAGAAATCTGGTACGTTTCCAGGAGGCGTGCATGAAGGTAACACCAAGTATACCTTTGTGTGTGTTGTTGATGCGTTTCCATTACTCAGCAGTGTCACAGTGAAAAGGTGTGTCTGGGAAACAGGTGGAGTTACAAACACCTGAACCGTGGGAGCTCGCATACAGCTGATCCTTCCCTGCCCTCCCTCAACAGAGACCGTGTTTACATGTCAACAGTCTTTTCCTCCTGAGACACTGAGGTTTACAGAGAAATCTGAAAGCTAGCTGGGCAATCCACAGTCACGTCTGCGTTTGATTACAAGCTTTTAAGTGGCTGGGTGCAGTTTACCACCGTACCATGTGTTTTATAGCAACAGATGCATCTTTGACTCACTCAGCCTTGTGGTTCAGACCAAAAGGCTGCATTTGATCTAAAATATCCATATGTGAGGCACTTTAACTTGTCCTGAAAAAGCCTTTCTCTGAGCATTAATCAGATCAAATCTTATAATTAATCCACTGATATGTTCTGAGACTTAATCAAAGTCTCTAAACTGATGAATATCATTTTACCTAAGAACAGAGGTGGTAAGATGCTGGGAAAGATTTAAATTGTTCTGATTTGCGTTGTTTTAAAACACCTGGGAGAAAATATTCAACTGAGCGTGTCAGTTTAATAAAAAAAAAAAAAATTAAATAATTATTGTATTTTGTTTCACAAATTACCTACATTAAGCAGAGGAGTTTTAAGTTGTAGACAAACACAGGTATATGTGATTAAGAAAAGTGGTTAAAACATGTATTAGCTCAAAATCTGGTTTTAAATAAAATATGAAAAGTGGGGGATGCATTTATGTTTAAACCACCCAAGTCAGAATGTCATAGAACCCACTCTTTCCTTTTAATGGTTTGACGTATTTCTGAGCGACATAGCAAATCTAGAGAGTAAAGTTTTGCCCATTTTGTAAAAAAAAAAAAAAAAAAGCTGCAATCAGCATCAAATCAGAGGATTTAACAAAAATTAAAGTATGGACAACTCTGAGCATCATCTTCAGCGTCTTCAGTCAGAGTGATCTCATGCCATATGTAGAAGAAACACCTATAATGAGTTTAAACCTAATTTATTTTCCTTAAATTTATTTTTAAACTTTTTTTTCACAAATCCTGAAACAGTTTCAGGTTTTATTTTTCACTGAGCCATTCAACATGCCATAATTCCTGGAATGCAAGATACACAATTGTTTCCATAGTGCTCCCACCTGAGTTATGGATCTCTGGAGCTCCTCCAGAGTTACTTTGTTTCCAAACAATAAGTGATGCTCTTTATACTTAGCCACTTTAGGTGGACGGTAGATCTGTATGGAAGCAAATGGTTACCATATTTCAAATGAAAAAGCATTTTCAGAAATGCTTTTTCATTATAAGAATGTGGCTGCATTATTTGACTCATAAATGAAATTAGTAATCAATCATCATATTTGCATTTGCATTTTCTTCTTTAAGACTGCTCATTTTATGCCATAATCAAAGAGAAAACACAGCGGGCATTGCTTTTTCGTTTCGTTTTTCGGTTTGCCAGCAAAGTACTGTCCATAACTCGAAACCGAAAAAGCTTTCTGAGCGGCCGGCGCAGCAGAGTGACGTCGGCAGCCGCTCTTCCTCAGGTCCTTGCTGACCGGGCTACACATCTTGCATTACATTGTAAGCGTGCCGGCGGGAAACTGGCTGAATTGACTATCGGGACATAAAGAATGACCACAATGACCAAAACAGTGGTAGAGCTACTAAGGAAGGCAGCTGCTGCTTGATTTGTTCTACTAGGTCATGGGCATCAGACCCGGATATACTTTTGGATTCTACCTGCTCAGCTAATTCTAAAAGTGTTTATACAATTTGAGGGAGTGCCATGATCTGTGATGCTAAAGACTTTAATGAATGTAATGCAACGCAGACGTGAACAGCGCCCCCTACTGAACATGATGGGTAGCCCGGTCAGCAAGGACCTGAGGAAGAGAATCTGCTGACGTCACTTTGCTGCACCCGCCGCTCAGAATGCTTTTCCGTTTTCTAGTTACGGACGATACTTTGCTGGCAGACCATGAAAACGAAAAAGCAATGTCAGCTGTGTTTTCTCTTTGATTATGTCATAAAATGTGCAGTCTTAAACATGAAAATGCAAATGCAAATAGGATGATTGATTACTAATTTTATTTATGAGTCAAATAATGCAGCCACATTCTTAAAATGAAAAAGCATTTCTGGAAATGCTTTTTCAGTTTCAAATTTGACATTTCAAATATGTATGTATTTGCTGGGGTACATTTTGAAAAATAAATCTCAAATGTTTTTTCATTTTCATTAAATAAAGGATGAGCAGTGTTAAAGATGAAAATGAAAATTCACACCATATTATTGAATACTAATTTCATTTATGAGTCAAACAATGCAGCCACATTCTTAAAATGAAAATGTATTTCTGAAAATGCTTTTTCATTTGAAATATGGTAACGATGTGCTTCCATAGATCTGCAGATGAGTCGTTCTATTGTAGGATGATAAACAGGTGGCATTGTTTTATAAACCAACAATCTCATATAAGTCAGGACTGCGGTGGCTTGACCCCATCAGTGTGTGAATTAGTTCATGACCGAATGTAGAGCAAAGCACTTTGGAGTCCCCTGACTTGAAAGGGTGCTTTAAGTAAACTTGCATTATGTAATTCTGGACTTTATTAGATAAAATCCTCATAAAATGACTTAAAGTCTGTATGCGTGAATAAAATCTACAATCTTCAGCCAAATATGTTTTTTATTCTTATTGCCAGAAAATCCAGTCGCGCTAATAGAGGCTGACCTGTGGGAGGTTTCTGGAGATCCAGGTGTCCAGCAGCAGCTCCAGCCGGTCTCGGTGGTACCTTCTGGTGCTTTTCACCGCTATGAACAGGTCATCCTGGGACAGATGCTCCACAGCTCCATGGAGCGCGCTGCTCCGCGGGCTTCTTACCGCTCTCCTCTCTCGGGTCAGAGTCCTGATATAAGCGGAGAAACCCGTCCCCGCAGCCGGTGGCTCCTCCGGGTGTCCGGTGCCGCTCAGTAGCAGCAGGATCCCGGTCAGCAGGCAGGTGACCCCAGCGGCAGCCCCGCGAAGTCCCGCTGAGCTGAAGGCGAGTCCCCCTGTGGGTTTCCACATGCTGTCCTCGCAGGAAAAGTCACAGCTTTATGCATTGACAGGAATAATCAAAGCCGTATCGGGTTTTATCTTAATGATTCAGGAACACCATGACTGGACTTGTTAGATTTGCTCAATGAGTTTCTGTCATGGTGCGCCGCGCGCTCTGGAGCTGAGCTCTGTGGACTACTTTGATGCTCCACCAGTGGGCGGATCAAGAGGCGTGAGCGTGGAGGATTTGGACCTAGTCATGGTGGGGAAATTTTTGACACAGCCTTTAAGGTGCAAAATATTAGACATTTGCCAACTGCTACAATACAGCTTTAATCTTGACTAAATTACATATTATTCATAGCCTAGATTCAGTGGCGTAAATATCAGTAAGCAGAGACTGCTGCTTAGGAGCCCCATCACTGACTGCTGGTTGGCCCCCAGCAATTGTGGACTTGGACGCCTCTTTGCAGATGTAACGCTGTGAAAAATTCCTCTTGAACCGACCTGATATAAGATTGACTGACCGGACCTTATTTACACCCCAACACATAATAGATTTCAACATGATGGTGAACCTTTTAAACACGACACCAATAGCAAAGCAGACCGGGGTACTTTTAATTACTATGTTAATAACTGTGTATAGTTCATTAGATGGTTGGTAAGCAATACACTAATATAATATGTTTAAAACAGCAATAAAGTTCTTAAATGAACAATGTAATTTGAGTATTTTATCTTTTACACTACAACTTGGAATGATGGGTAATTCAGAGCGTAGATTAAAGCCATAACCTTTATGTACAATGTGTTTGCGACGATGGATACCGAAAGGAGGTACTTAAGTGGATTCCTGAAAAGCAAAAGCAAAAAAGAGCTGCTGGAATAATGGAAAAAAGTTCCCAATATGATAGGTGGGGAGGGTGTTGTACTTCATATGGGGCCCACCTCGATAATGTTGCTTACGGGTCTATTATTGTGTCGTTACGCCATTGCCTAGATTTTTATGACTTTTTATTAATGGTGCCTCTAATAAATATTTCGGAAATATGATACCAAATAGTGTTGAGTTTGCATTTGGAAGACAAATACATGTTATTGGGTAAGCAAGGTGGACGGAAATGATGTATGGTTTTATATGGTGTTCAGACCTTACCTCATATCACCCTGATACCCCAGTGCCATCGAAAGCCATCCCAAATCCTCTGACTATTTCCAAGAACCCTCCTGTGTGTACATTGCTGCAGCATAATCACAATGAGGATCAGGAAGAAAGTTGTAGAGAATTTTTGTTTTGTTTGTATACAACATTACAAACGTCATGAGTTTTGCTTCATTCATCATCGCAAAATGAAAAAAAGAGTTTGGTGCATCGGCACACAGGACACAGCGTTTATATTAGGTAAAGATCAAGCCAAAAACCAATCGATAGCTCTGGTGGATCTCTGGTTGTCAGGTTAGACAATTTGATGACAGGACATCTTCATACATTTATGGAAATGTAGCTAGATGAAAAAAAAGCAATCAGTTCGTCCTTTGCCCCAGAGGTCATGTATCTGACACTGTAGACATTAGGTGTTGAGACCAGATGGAACCAAAAATATAACACTTTGCTCATGCAAAATACTATGTGTTAATAGGCCTTTGTAAATTCTCAGCATAGAAAAACCAACATGAATGACTGTGAAACAATTATCCCCGCAGTAAAACATGGTGATGGCAGAATCATGCCCTATAATCATGCATAGGAATTAACAAGTACAGGAATATAAAGAGGTGACAGAGGAAGTCATAAAAGTAGTACTTTAAGTGGGAGGGTATTCCATAGTACACTGTGTTGTCTCTTCTAATATTTTTCCTGTAAAAAACAGTTTTTTCCTTTCCTGTAAGCTGAATTTTCACAGTATTTGTGCATTCACAAAAACAAACATATTTTACCCCTCCAGATTAAACCATTGGAGACTGACCCAAGAAGGGTTGGCCAATTAAGTTGCAGTATTATTGTTTAAAGTGGAACACATAGCTGCTGCTGTCACATTTTTTATATCTGAATCCATGATTCAGGGAGCAGCCAGTGTTAAAGTGTAAGGGCCTGGTCTTCAAAGGCTCAGAATAGGGGGAGCTAATTTGAATGTGCATTTTTTTAAGCCCGTGCAATAAGAGGGTGTGTTGCAGGTGATCAACAAAGATTGCTGCGTAAATATTAAATGGCAAATGATTTGGTTCTGTCCATTAGAATGAACAGATTGCACACTTTCTAGTTGTTAATGTTTGCACAAGCTTTATGCTGCTATCAAGACATACATTGGTTCACATTTCTGTCAGCCTGGACTTAACAGGATGGGCGACATTTTGTTCAAGTATCACCTACGGTGCTTTAATGATGTTTTCCATCTTTCAAAATGTCCTATATGTTTTTGAAATTAAACAGAATAATTTTTTTTCTCCTCTTTCTACAATTTATCAGTTTTAAATTATGTTCAGCATTAGTTTATAACTTAGGAAACCATTTATTGTAAAGAGGTTCACCCTATTACATATTCTTATGTCTCAAGCATAGCGAGTTCAGATAGTGTTTTTTTCCCCTCACTTTAGTGTGACATGCTTTGAGTTCCTGTGTTTGGAAGCCTGCTGTGCCAGTCTCCAAATAGACAGATGTTGAAAAAGAGCGTGACATCGGCTTGTGTGTAGTTCTGCCAAATATCCCTCACAGAAGACCCAGAAATGCCAAGGAGACAGGTTTCCAGATCAACCAACAATCCCAAGAATGTTTCCTCCATAATAATGGGCAGTTTGTCCTCATGCATATCTGAGTTTATCCTACAAGCTCGTCGGTGTAATATTACGTTTCAGAAAACACACAAGACAGCAAGTGAGTCTCAAACAGCTGTGGAGAAAAGCTCCTGTATTATGATGATTAACGAACTTAAAGATTCATAATAGGCAAGTAGCACAATCCTCACACTCAGAGGAAGTGGCAATTTGCTTTGGCTACTAGATGTATGCTTTTCACAATCGGAAAATTTTGTCGAAAGGATACTGCACTCTATTGTCAACACTTTAGCATGTGGATCAGAGGGAACAAAATACCTCCACTGATGAATAATGTTTTGCTAGTGACACAGTGTTGTGTTTTATTACTCTTTATTACTTTTATTTTGATTTGACATGTCTATTGGGTAAATATGTATGTATCCAATTCACACTGGCATGCTAAATGTTAGATCTTATGGAGGGAAAGTTAACAAAGCATGTTACTGCCACCACCATGTTTCACCGCACAGGATAGTGTTTTCAGGGTGATTTGTAGTTTCAGTTTTTTCACCACTGACATCACGTGGACCAAGATAGATTTTGAAACAGGTAGCCGGTGCAGCTTGAACACATCATCAGTGAAGGACCCAGGGTCATAGTGTGTTTCGGGTCTTTGATCTTCAGACAACTCGTCTGGGCGACCATACTGGGGTTGATCAGGCCCCAGTTTGTGTTCAAGCAGCGCACTACATCATGCGTCTCCCCTCTTGATCCACAGCCACCTTGAGGCTCTTTCAGTGGCCTCACTGATGTTTCTGGTGGCTCTTCTCTCAAGCAACCCTCTGATGCCAAGGAGCCTGAATGCCCGATGCATGGTCTGACTGAGGAAGTCTCTGCAGCCCACTTCTATTCGCTCACAGCGGGTCCTCCATCCACGGCGTCTGAATGCCTCAATCAGCTCAAGATATTTCGCTTCTTCCTTTCGTGAGCCTCCTCCATCCTGTCTTCCCAGGAGACTGTAAGCTCCAATAACACGAGTTGCTTTGTCGAGTCAGATGTTAGACCAGATCTGGCCTCAGTGACGTCCTGGCAATGTGCTTTGGGAACTTTAAAATGTGCAGTTCTGCCCAATCTGGCAAGATCGTCTTGTTTGTTGTGTCCCCTATAAAGCTTGTGACAAACAAAACCCATTAAAATATAATATAAAAACCTATCGTAAGGTGTGGTATGATATGGTATGTAGGAGTTTTGTTACTGCTAAAGGCACTTATTCCTCAGAGCATATTCCCAGTTCTTCTGCCTGGAGAAATCACTCTTAAAATAATAGTTTGAGACACACTTCTTGCATACAACTCTTAAACAAGACTTCAACTTTAACAGTTTTAAACTTATGATAGCAGAGAAATTGTATTGAATTACAGTGCTGGAATTATTGTCTGGAAATGGCCACTGGCATAAAAAAAGAGTGTAAAAATGAGTCATGAAAAATAGTTCTGGTTGATAGTTATACCTCCTGATGTGGCACACCAAGTTGGTTTCTGTCCTATAGGTTGTGTCAATAGCCCCATTTACACTGCCCTCTGAAAACTGATCCATGCCGAGCTTAGATCAGTTAACCGGACCAAGCTTTGCATCTCACGGCTTACACACCAAGCTAGCACGGTCCCTTGCCTCCTAGTGGCGATCTACGGTACTACTGCTCTCCAGAGGTAAACAAGCAAATAAACATGGTGGCGCCCGTAACATTCAGGAAGTTTGTGGAGAGAAGGGTGACCAGACGTCCCCATTTTCTCAGACAATGTCTGACTTTTCATACCTAAAAAAAATGTTTGGGGGAATTTCAAAATTGTCCGGGATTTTGGTCGACTACAGACACGGGGAGGGAGCCAGCGGGGGATGGAGTGACCCGACCCGGTGACGGTAGCCATGGCCCCGTGTGCCCCCTATCCCCCCCCCCACCCAAAAAAAACAACAAAATGTACTCATTTTCAGAAACCTAAATCTGGTCACTCTAGCGAAGATTTAGGGACGAAGACAGACTTGAGTGAGTTGACTTTTTACAGACGTTGAGGTTCATCACACTGCAGAGCAGAATCATCACTGGAAATTGTGTGGAACGGTAGGGAAGCTAGTGTTTTAATGAATGTCTGAAATATCATGATCACGGAGGCTGACTGTAAGGAGATGATGCGGTCTGCTCATGCTCTCTTTGTTATCTGAGAACCATGTCAGAATTGAACCGCGCTGAGCCCTACTGATGAACTAGTACCATGTTAGCATGGTTAAGTTGTGTCTTGCGTGGTCTGGTTCATTTGTGCTTGCCTTTTACACTCAACATTTATCTCTGTGACCGTGTTTGGCCTGATCTCGGCAGGGTAGTTTAAATGAAGCTATTCTTAGGCTTTCAGTCCTGACTTGAATCTTCCC